CCCCCCCCCCCCCCCTAGCTACGGGCCTGATTCTATAGGGTATTTTTGTTGTTGTTGTTATGAATGTCATATAACTATTCGTTTGTGCGTAGATCAAAATGGAATAAGCCGCGATATTAGAGTTTGAGTGTCTCGCACTTGCTGAAGCCGTCCGCTTATTCAAAGCCAAGGAAGTTGCTAGATAGGGAAGGTAATACAATATATATGCATATATTGAAGCTTCCATAGTCATTTTTCTTGTGTACAAATCTTTGCGTACATACTAAAACAGATTCACCGTTTCCATGGACTATAGATGAAAATAAGTGAGAGTTACTGACCGAATCGGCAATAATATATTGACGCCATTGACTTTCCGCGAAAAAAATTATATATAAAGCAGCTCACCGTTCTGCATGGAATATGGAAGAAAATTATGAATTGGTACCGACGGTTGCTATCTGGTTAAACGTAGTTTTTCAGTGACCGCAGAACCAGTTTGAGCAATCACAATGCACGGGAAGAAATCTTTGATGTTTGCGCTTGATAAGAGCGTATATCATTTTGCTTTTGACTTGTTTTATTTTTATTCTCATACACTGTTGCTCTTAATAATCAGACCGAATCATAATAATGGATTTACTCACTGGAAGTTTTGACATTCTGTTTCAAAAGATGTTAGTAGATAAGAAACCATAGCCTTGCTAACGCTTTTGTGATTGTTAACAAAACTAAAGCATTTTTCAAATTTTTCCAGAATTTGTTTTATACCTACGCCAGACCACACATTCTTCAAACAATGATGAGAATCACTCAAATTCGCAAGAATAAAGGTAGCGAAACTCCCTAATTCACCATGCAAAGAAGAAGCATGTAGAAAAACAAACAAGAGGACACGGAAACTGGTGAGGAGGAGGAAACAAAATCCGGACAACATCCAAGATAACAGCCCTCAAGAAGCCTACGCGATTCAGAAACACTTATTGGACCTCCCTTAAGAAAACCATTTGGGAATAAACGGAAACTGGTGATGAGGAGAAAACAAAATCCGGCCAACATCCAAGATAACAGCCCTCAAGAAGCCTACGCAATCATTCAGAAACACTTATTATACCTCCCTTAAGAAAACCATTTGGGAATTAAGTCAGCCATCATGATTGACAATAAAGCCATTTGCCTTTTGGCGGCCGTAACTGACTTCTCCGTTTCTCGAATCGATCGCAGTTCAACTTCGTATGTTATCGTGTCTTAAGAATCACCATATTGGTGCGCATAATAACTACATATTGCCTAGACGGTTCACCGAACCGATAAATTGAGAGATTGGCAGCTATGATTACTTGGTGTGCCATCAGATTATTAAATAGCTCGTTATTTATCAAGGAAATCGAAATTTGTTTGCCATCAACAGCAATTAATGCATGCTGCATTTTTTTTTTTTTTTTACAAAATTTTCCCAACAGATGATCTCGTGAAAAATTGTGAAAATGATTGGATGAAACATACACAAACTCTAATAATAATATATATAGATGCATATATCTTTGCCACTTTCTCTTCCTTCTGAGTGAAGTCGTTTAGAAAAATAACCTCTAAGGGAACAAACGAGATAAACAAAAATGCCACGAAAATGTGTTTTCATTTGGATTAAAGTATTTGCCAAGTTCGTGTTATTCCAACTCTTATGATACATAGATTCCCTGTTGTGTCTTCTTCTTGCTGGAGATTGCATCGCTGGTCAGTAAATGCTACCCGGATGAAGGAATGCAAGACTGCTCAGTTGCCAGTCACCTTGTGTACGAAAAAAGTTCGATAAACTTGTTGCGAAAATCGAGTGCAAACATGGTATGCAGCAAAAACGTTCACGATTTTCTACACTGTTCATTTGCTAATGGAAACAGCTCAAAATGTACAGAATTTAAAAAATTCTTTGAAACCTTTGCGAAAATTAAGCTTTATAAACATTTTATACACGACCTTCTACATCGTTCATTTTGCCAATGGAAACAGCTCAAGCTATACAACAAAATTTAAAAAGTTCGTTAAACGATTTGTAGACATAGACATGTTGTTCAGCGAGAAAATTCACGCCTTCTGCTTCGTTCATTTGGTCAATGGCTTGCTTCTCTTCATCTCCCGATACCATGGAAACAGTTCGCCATGACCAACACTGAGGAAGCTAAACAAACACGCTGTGCACTCTTATTTCCGACCTCTTGTACACTCTTATTTTTCTATCATGGAGGGCCAAAGACTTTATTTGCTTTGAGGAAACGTCATTTTTGAGCTTCACCTTCAATTTTTTCAAGGCTCAATTTTAATTTTTGACTCTTTCGTGCCATGTAGTGTAGAGTGATCGAAAAAAAAAGCTATCAAAACTTGTTTATGTTTGTCAAAAATTAAATGTTTTCTTCTTTCTTGTTAAAAATATAGAGGTATACCTTTCCGAGGAAATTATTTACCGTATTGGTTATCAAAGCATAAAATTAAGTTTCTTCTCAAACCGACCCCATTTATTTGATGAATTTACTCTGATATATTTTCACATATTAAAACCACCGAACCTTCAATTCACAAAAAGACTAAATAATTTTTCTTCAAATATCTTTTAATTATTGCTTTTTATCACTGCTGTGCAGAATAATAATTCATAATATTTATCACTTTAATTCTCTATAAAATATCTCTCTTTAAGCAAACCTTATTTACATTTCCACAGATCATTTATACAATGAAATTCAAAATTTCTTCGCGTTTTTACTTACGAAACTAAATTTCTTAATGTCTTAATGAATAAATTGAGTCTTTGATAGAAACTTAAAAGAGTTTCATTCTGAAATGAATATTATCACCATGGACGCCACAACGCCGGTTTCTTTGTAGATACCGGTCTTTTAACGAATTCTGTTTTTACTTGAGCTGTGGTCTGTAACGGACTAACAGGTGACATTAAACTACTTGAATCTCTTAGTACGGGAACTGTTCCAGCGAGGTACACAGTGTTTTGAGATATAGGAGAAGGCGGTGGCGAAGGATAAGGAACCCAAACAGTTGTATTATTGGCGGGAAAACTTGGGGGCGCGAAAGTTGAATTTACACGGTTTCCATGACAATTTGAAGCGAGGTGAGACATGAGTTTTTCTCTAAGATGACCAGAACTATCAGAGGCACTTAGATTCTTCGATACTTCTGCTGCACATTGGTTAAATCCAGCTCGAAATTCAGCCAAGGAATTCATATCTGAATAAAATAAAAGAACGAAATCGTTAATTCATGATTTTTAAAATAAATTGTAATTGTTTAAAATATACATATACTTGAACGGAAGTAAATGAGCGTTTGAACGCTAACTCCAGTGGTTGCTAACTTTATCTTGTGAAAATAGATCCTCAAGAAAATCATTTATATAATATTCAAAAATATTGTTTACGAAAATGTTTTACGAAAATATTCAGTTTTCGTACACACCTTGAACTCGCAAGTCTTTTCGTTGAGCTGCCCGTAGGTAACTTACAGTCATCTCCAAGATATCAGCTTTCTCCATTTTAGAGTATCTGCTTGCCTGCAGAAAAGGAAAAAGAATACTATTTAGTAATCGATATCGGGTACAGAAACCACGACTTCATTTACATACAGCCAGCCGGCTGCGAACTGTTGTTAAGTGATATTCAATTAGGTTATAAAGTAGGTCACTGGACACTGATTTCCTTCACACCAAATTCTTCCGCTATCAGATTATAAACAAGTACATTCACCGTAGTACATTCGGCTACTTACATCTTTGTTCAGGAGATCCAGTACTAAGGTTTTTAGTTCGTTCAGACTGTCATTTATTCTTGCTCGTCTCATCTTTTCCATAAGTGGTTTCTTCGCCTGGTAAGAAAAATTGTATAGGAATCTCATAAGTCCAATGTTTGTGTGTTTTACCCAATAGTTGTAAACTAAATAAACACAGAGAAAAAAATCTGTGATTCTATAAACAAGTGTTTTCGCTCACCTTTCGTCTTTCAGAAAGAATCTTGCTGACATAGTTTGAGCTATCGATGCATTCTAACGCCATTTTGGTTTCGAGTGTTGAGTTGAGTTTTTGATAGCTGTGCTCTCGGCAGTGTGCGTTGATGTATGAGCGAGTTTCATACACCAGTGCCTTTTATATGCATGAGATCGTGGGAATATCTAGTCGTGTGTCTCCCCGAGTTCATCTTATTTACAAACACCTGTCTGGGCACAATCGGCCTGCTCTTCAAAACAATAACACTAACGACTACAAAAGTTCTACCGTGGGAACCGTCTGCTCTGATTGGCTGCTGGTCTCAAGTCGCACGATAAACGTCGATTGCATTGTCTTATCGCCTTCAATGGCGCGTGAAAAGCGTGAGACCACTAAGCTGTGATTGGCTGAGATGTTTTCGCCTGACTTCCCTTCTTTATTGCTTACCATCTTGTACATCCAAACATGCGAACAAAAGCTCAGTGACAAGTTAGGGCTCGACTTTTTGGTTTTTATTCTAAAGAAAGAGCACACGTTCATTATACGAATACACTTCAATTTCTAACTTGACGGGCTTCGTCTTTTAAATACCCTAAAAATGTATTAAGTCGCTAAGTATTTTGGTATTTGAGCAAATCAATAGCCTATTACTATCCCTTTAGAAATACACGTGCGACGACTTCAGTCTTCTATTGTTTATCTTCTCAAAGCTGGCCTCACAGCGACGTTAAGGTTTTCAAAACCAAAAATTTAAATGACAAAAGCGATTCGAAATTTCCCACGGAAATGGTGTGTGATGTATAAAACGGGAAAGCTTGTAAAATTACAATTAACACCACTTCCTTGCGGATTGTAAATATTATAAGACAGGAAGAAGAAAATTGTGGCTCCTTTGCCTTAACTGTCTGGGAAAATTGTCGCTATATTTCTGGTTCATCTTCTTCTTTTGAAAGATATTTACTTCTTGTTAAATGGAAATTTACAGTTTTTATGAGCTCGACTTTCGACCTTGAATAATCTTAACTGACTTGCCATTTGTAAAAGGTACACAAAATTACTTCTTCGTATAGGTTAAAATCAATTTATTATTGATGACAGAGGTGTAAGTATTTCGTATGAATTTTGTAATTTTTCTAAACTAGAAAATTTACTAAAGTTCACAATTAAGTCTTCGTTATTATTATTGCTGGTAGACTATTTTTAATGCATCAACTAAAGAACATGTTTCTTACAAGACGTTTTAGTTATTATAGTGTAATTTTCGATTGCTTAATCGTCACATCAATGCATTCCAATGAAATACACAAGACTTTGTTTAGTTTAATGTAATTGCATTTTATTTTTTTACTTTGTTCATAACAATCATCAAAAGGACTGCATCGGCGTCCCTGCATTCCTGCACTCTTATCGTGCAAGCAAAATGCCACCTGAAACAATGGACGCGGATTTGCTACTGTCAGGATTGCAGCGTCCATTGTTGCATATTGGCGTCGGTTATTGCCGGTTTGCTAGCAAAGCTTCTATGCAGCTGCATGCTTGTCATGGATGGTTGGTTTAATGCTTACCAAAGGACGCTTATACATATTAAAACATTGCATCCATGGGAAGACGAGTTTCTTTAATTGCAAGCGAAAGTATCAACAAAAGGATGCAAAATCCCGTACTTGAATGATGCTTGAGCTGAAACTTTCTGCTCGTTAATGGCTACGATTGCTTTAGAAAACAAGTAAAAAACGACTTTCAGATTATATATTTTTAGGTATATTTTCTTAATTACATGAGAAGTCTCAAGGCTTTATGCCATGTCACTATCAGTAAGTCGCCAAGATTATTTTTAATAAATCAAACCCGAGATAGGTTATGTCAATTCTTAACGCCATTCAGGTGAATCACTTATTTGCGTTCCTAAATACTTTGTGTAAATCTTAAAGATTTGACCGATAATGGCCCCTTCAAAGGCAGATCTTAATTTCAATCACATCAGTATTGTGACATCTTTTTTATAGAAGTTCTCAATCACCAAGTAATTTCGTCTTGGCAAGTGACTGTTTTTAGTAATGAAGCCTAGAGAGATTGTCGTTAGGAGAATTTGTCGTGTAGATCGCTGTGTCTTCCTAGGTTTTGTGATCATATAGGAAATTAACGTGTCTGTGCAGATCACATGCCCCAAATTCTTATCGACTTTGATGTTCCGTTGTTCCGATCGAACAACTGTGATAGTCAATCGCTAAAATGAAACTCCACGGCAAGAACGGCAATATCTTATCAAATGAGCATCTCAGTTTTTCCAGTATGTTTCGAGTTGCCTCTGTTATCTATTCGTTCTATATAAAGAAAGCTTCACAATTCAAAAGTCAATTCTAGATGAATTTGAAGCCATTTTGTTGTTCTTAGATCAAGAGAGCCACGCGTTCACATGCTAATAAGCGAACGTTCGCTCGTGCATGACAGTTAACGTGTTTGTTAAGCACAAAACTGTCTATTGTTCTTAACGTCGACATCATGGCGGCACTTGGACGGCGCTGTCTTTTAAGATATGCAATTTTTCCAGTCGGTGTGCAATATTTATGCAATCAGTAATGTGGTCTTATTATTGCACGTGCACTGTTAAGTCTAGCATACAGCACTGCTGATATATTATTGTACCGTTGCACCTGCATGGCTCTCGTGGCTAACACATGGACTTTAATGCTCTTATGCTGTTCGCTTCAGTAAATTTTACCGGGAAAAATTTGTCAGCAACATGAATACCGTTAGCAAAACTCGACAAATTTCAATACATCGGTGTCCGAATGCCTTAAAAGTAAATTTTTTTCTATCTTTCTTGTATTTCATATCCAGACATTGAAAGACAGAATATGTTATATTTGTGATTATTTTTGTTGATAGTTCCAAAGTTATTAACTTTACGAATATACATCGATTATTGCAGTAATAAATTCTATAATGCATGCATTTTTTGCTTATCACAGAAAAGACCAAAGTGAAGCTAGCGTCGGATTGGCAGCGTCGGATTGATATTCATTGAGATTCAGAATCATTTCCGGGGGAGGTCAAACAGGTCATTCTACTAAAATCCTCTTTGTCCCCTAACGGTGGTAAAATCACAAACGAATTCCGATTAAACTTTCTTCTCTGATTTCTATTCATGATATTCTACGCTCTTAGTAGAATACACTGCCTATTCTCGACGAATTTACGGATTTTGATCTCAGCCTCGGATTGGACTAGTATTACAAGTCACGTTCAAAACATTCAACTGACAACAACAGACTGACGATTTAATTTTTATCAAACATTCAATTTATTCACTTCTAACCTTCATATAGTGAACTCGATTTTACTTTTAACCTTCGTATCGGAATCTACATTTCATGATACTGATTTTGCTCTCAGCCTCGGATTGGGATCGTATTACATCTCAGCCTCGGATTGGG